CTTTGTACTTTATGTCTCCCCCCAACCTCTAGTTGTTTTTTGATTTGTTTACAGAGTGGCTGAAGATGGCCTTCAACTCACTATGTAGCAGAACTTCTGATTCTCCTGCTTTGAGCCACCCCGCTAGTGCTCAAAGCATGTGTCAGCACACCCATGATTTTAAAAACCATCAATTCTGTGTTGGGTACAGTGGCTCATGGACACAGTCCCAGGACTTGAGAGGTTGGGGCAGGAAGAGCACCTTGAGTTCAAGGCGTACCCAGGTTACATATGAAATTCCAGAGTTACAGAAAGCGGCTGTGTCTCAAAAACAAATGAAAACAAACCCCACGATTTCTGGTGGTCGCCCAGATGGGCAGTGCGTTATTAGTCTCCCCTAGCGTGCGTGACTTACGTAACTTCTTTGATGTACAGGTGACAGGGACTAACAGCTGCTTAGATTATTTTTCACGGGCTTGAGGTGATTTTATAGAAATTACCAACTATTCACTTGGGCTGGTGCAGATGTCTGGCGAGAGACTTTTTAGGGTAAGAAGGCAAAACCCCACCCTCAGATCATGCTCGCAATGCCATCCTGAACATGCGTCTTGGAAGAGACGTGAAGTCGAAAGATGCATGCAAGGGTCACCTCACCTCTGATGATCTTTCCCCTATGCCCTCCACCACCATCTATAGCCCATATACTCTCAAATCCTGGTCTTGGGAGAGGAAGTGATCTGAGATTTGGGTCCCTGCCTCCTTGCTTGACCCTATCACCAATCGACTTTTTCTCTTTTGCAAACACCGGTTTCAGCAATTTGGTAAACTCTGAAGAGGATAGTATGCCTGTTCTGATAGCAAGTGAAACACCCCACCTTCCTTTTTTGAGACAGGGTTTCGGCAAACCTTGAACTTAGAATCCTCCTGCCTCACAGCCTCCTGAGTGCTGCTGTTCTGGCATTCTGCCATTCGGGGCTGTGCAACCGTAACTATGTGCTATGCTGTTGACCCAGCAGCCAACTGTGACTTCGGCTTTCTGTTATAGTAGCTGAACCCCACCCTTGCATTAAATAGATCGAAAAAGAACAAGACGTTTTCTAAGCGTTCTTAAAAGGAAGCATTATTTGCTTAGCCAGGCCAGAACTAACTCCAAAAGGAAGGCTTTACTATAGCTCCAGCCACACCAACTTGTCAAAGGTGATATAACCATGGCTTCCCTCTTTACCCCTTGGCAGCAACAGTGGAAAAACATCGTCCATGCCACAAGCTAAAGATTTCAGTGCTCTGTGGAGAAAGCAAAATCTTAGATGAGCTGTCTCAGGTGTCAGCAAATAGCTTTCAGGTGAACAGTCATAATTATTCTGTGTTGAAATACGCATGCATATTTATGTCTTTTGCAATACCACTCTTAGGAATATACCCAAGAGAGGCCTTATCATACAACAAAAGTATAGGCTCTACTATGTTCATAGCAGCATTGTTTGTAATAGCCAGAACCTGAAAACAACCTAGATGCCCTTCAATTGAAGAATGGATGAAGAAAGTATGGAATATATACATATTAGAGTACTACTCAGCAGCAAAAAACAAGGACTTCTTGAAGTTTGCAAGCAAATGGATGGAAATAGAAAACACTATTCTGAGTGAGGTAAACCAGAACCAAAAAGAGGAACATGGGATGTACTCACTCATATTTGGTTTCTAGCCATAAATAAAGGACATTGAGCCTATAATTTGGGTTCTTAGAGAAGCTAAATAAGAAGGAGAACCCAAAAAAAACATATAGGCATCCTCCTGAACATTAACCTTCATCAGGCGATGAAAGGAGACAAGAGACAGAGACCCACATTGGAGCACCGGACTGAAATCTCAAGGTC